TTCCCGCCTCGTTGGCGCGGCTGGAATTTTTCCAGGAGCTTTTCCAGGAGCTGTTCCAGCTTTTCTGTCTCCGCTGCCGTTTCCCGGGCGCTGCAGGTGCCAAACCACGGCCGGGTTTGATTTTTTCTCTCGGATTTTTCAGCTTTCCAGGGATTTTGGACGTTTGTTTTTCCCTTCCCTGCCGCTGACTCACGGCTCCCGTGTGATCCCTGAGATTCCCATCCCTCCCCATTCCCGGGATTCCCCTGGAATTTTCGGGCTCCCACCCCCCTCCTCTTCCCTCCCCCACATCCAGAACTTTTTCCCAGAACTTTTCTGGGATCTGGAACGGGGTTGGGACATCATTCCCCCCCCGTGGGATCCCCCAAATCCACGGATCTCCCTCTCCCCTCCGGATTTCTCCCTCCTGGGACGTTTCTCCTCCTCCACCGGCTCGGGTCGGTCCCGCGGTGCCTCCGAACCCCTTTGGGGCCATCCCAAATTTCCCCGGGAATGTTTTCCAGCCCCGCTGGGCGCGGCCGCTGCTCCGGCAGCCGGCCCGGCCTCTCCTGGAGCCGGCCCCAGCCTGGGCCTCTTTTCCTGGAAAAGCAGCGGAGCAGCTGCTCCCGGGGAGAGGAACCGGAGAACCTCGGGAGGGACGAGTCCCTCGGAGTTTTGGGGTCGTTTGTGGGGAATTTGGGGCACCCGGGAAGTCCTGGAAGGGCCGTGTCGTCCTGGGAATGTGGAGGGAGCCGTGGCCTGGATCCATCCGGGCTGGATTCGGATACAGAGGGATTTTTCCAGCCCTGGTGAGCGGTGGGATGAGGAACCTCCTCCCTTTTTCCATGGATTGCCTCCAAAATCGCAGCTCGCGAGGCTTTGGCGGGCAGGGAGCATCCGGGAACATTCCAGAGCTCGTTTGGGATCATTCCCGTGATGTCACCACCCGATGTGCCGTGGATCTGCTCCCATGGATCTCCTGTGGATCTGCTCCAATGGGGACATTCCAGTGCTCGTTTGGGATCTGTTCCGTGATGTCACCAGGTCTTCTGTGGATCTGCTCCAATGGGGACATTCCAGAGCTCGTTTGGGATCATTCCGTGATGTCACCACCAGATCTTCTGTGGATCTGCTCCAACGGGGACATTCCAGTGCTCGTTTGGGATCTGTTCCGTGATGTCACCAGATCTTCTGTGGATCTGCTCCAATGGGGACATTTCGGGTTTATTTGGGATCATTCCATGATGTCACCACCAGATCTCCCATGGATCCGCTCCAACGGGGACATTCCAGAGCTCGTTTGGGATCTGTTCTGTCATGTCACCAGATCTCCCAAGGATTCTCTCCAACGGGGACATTCCAGGGCTGATTTGGGATCATTCCATGATGTCACCACCAGATCTCCCATGGATGTGCTCCAATGGGGACATTCCAGAGCTTGTTTGTGATCATTTCGTGATGTGACCAGCAGATCTTCCATGGATCCTCTCCTCTATTTGGGGTTTATTTGGGATCAGTCCATGATGTCACCAGATCTCCCATGGATGTGCTCCAACGGGGACATTCCAGAGCTCGTTTGGGATCAATCCATGATGTCATTGGCTTTCCCATGGGTCCTCTCTGTTGGGGACATTCCAGGGTTCATTTGGGATCATTCCTTGATGCCACCATCAGATCTTCTATGGATCCTCTCCAATGGGGCATTCCAGAGCTCATTTGGGATCAATTCCATGATGTCGTTGGCTCTCCCATGGATCCTCTCCAACGGGGACATTCCAGGGTTCCTTTGGGATCAATCCATGATGCCACTGCCAGATTTTCCATGGATCTGCTCCACTGGGGACATTCCAAAGCTCATTTGGGATCATTCCATGATGTCAGCAGATCTTCCGTGGATCTGCTCCAATGTGGGCATTCCAGGGTTCGTTTGGGATCAATTCCATGATGCCACCATCAGATCTTCCGTGGATCTGCTCCAATGTGGGCATTCCAGGGCTCGTTTGGGATCATTCCTTGATGCCACCATCAGATCTCCCATGGATCCTCTCCAACAGGGACATTCCAGGGTTCCTTTGGGATCAATTCCATGGTGCCACCACCTCTCCCATGGCTCTGTGTCTCCCATGGGGACAACCCTGTGGATCTGGGTCCATCCCAGCTTTCCGTTGGAATTTTTTAGGGTGGATTGGAGAGGGAGGAACTTCCATTTGCCCTTTTTTGGCGGAATTTCCATGTTTTTCTCCTTCCGTCGCGCTCGTTCCCCGGGAACGCCGGGGTCACCAACCTCGAGCGCCTTTTCCTGCCCAACGGTTGGGTTGGACCCGCCCTGGGTGCTCCTTGGAGCTGGAAGAGCCAAATTTGGGCTGTTGGGTGGATTTGGGGCCGGGCTGGGATGTTGGGAATGGAATTCCCACTTCCCCGTTTTCCAGAGGGATTTTGGGGAGCCAAACGGCTCCAGCGGTGCCGGGGACCGGAAACTCCCAATTTTGGGCATCTCCTAGTCGTGGGTGACCGGGTGAGGGTTGGGCTTGGTCTTGGGGGTCTCTTCCAACCGTAACCATTCCGGGATTCTTCTTTACCAACTTTAATTATTCCACGGCTGAAAATTTCCATGGTGGAATTCCTCATGGTGCTGGTAACGAGCCCGAATCCGCGCCGTCCATGGCAGGAATCCCCGGGGTTGGGTTGGGTTGGTTTGAGTTGAGTTTGGTTGTATTGAGTTGGGTTTGATTTGATTTGAGGTTTGATTTGAGTTGGGTTGGGACGAATTTTGTTGAGTTGGATTTGGTTTGGTTGAGTTGGGTTTGGATCGGTTGAGTTCTGTTGGGTTTGGTTGAGTTGAATTTTGTTGGGTTGGGTTGAGATGAATTTTGTTGAGTTGGGTTTGGTTGAGTTGGATTTGGTTTGGTTGAGTTGGGTTTGGATCGGTTGAGTTCTGTTGGGTTTGGTTGAGTTGAATTTTGTTGGGTTGGGTTGGGTTGGGTTGGGATGAATTTTGTTGAGTTGGATTTGGTTTGGTTGCGTTTGGATGGATTGAGTTGGGTTTTGTTGGGTTGGGTTGAGTTGAGTTTGGTTGAGTTGGTTTGGGTTTGTTTTCATTGAGTTGAGTTGTGTTGTGTTGGGTTGGATTGGATTGATTTGGGATGAATTTTGTTGAGTTGGATTTCGTTTGATTGAGTTGGATTTGGTGTGGTTGAGTTGGATTTGGTTTGGTTGAGTTGGGTTTGGATCGGTTGAGTTCTGTTGGGTTTGGTTGAGTTGAATTTTGTTGGGTTGGGTTGGGTTGGGTTGGGATGAATTTTGTTGAGTTGGATTTGGTTTGGTTGCGTTTGGATGGATTGAGTTGGGTTTTGTTGGGTTGGGTTGAGTTGAGTTTGGTTGAGTTGGTTTGGGTTTGTTTTCATTGAGTTGAGTTGTGTTGGGTTAGGTTGTGTTGGGTTGAGATGAATTTTGTTGAGTTGGGTTTGGTTGAGTTGGATTTGGTTTGATTGAGTTGGATTTGGATCGGTTGAGTTGGGTTTGGTTTGGTTGTGTTGGGTTTGGTTGGGTTGGGTTGAGATGAATTTTGTTGAGTTGGGTTTGGTTGAGTTGGATTTGGTTTGATTGAGTTGGATTTGGATCGGTTGAGTTCTGTTGGGTTTGGTTGAGTTGGGTTTGGTTGAGTTGGATGTGGTTGAGTTGCGTTGGGTTGGGTTCGTTTTCATTGAGTTGGGTTGGGTTAAACCATTTTGGGAATTTTGGGGTTAAACTCCGGGATTTTGGGACTGTTGGGGTTGTTCCCCATTTTTTGTGGCTCCATCCCAGCCAGCTCCCCCCGGAGCCGGGATAACGGGATCGCAGAGCAGGGATTTTGGGAATGTGGAGCAGGGATTTTGGGAATGTGGCGCAGAGATTTTGGGAATGTTGAATGGGGATTTTTGGGAATGTGGAACGGAGATTTTGGGAATGTGGAGCAGGGATTTTGGGGATGAGGCTCTGTCCCGGAGCTCTCCCCGGTGCTGGGATAACGGGATCAGAGAGCAGGGATTTTGGGAATGTGGAGCAGAGATTTTGGGAATGTGGAACAGGGATTTTGGGAACGTGGCTCCATGCCGGAGCTGTCCTCGGGGCCGGGCTGACGGGATCAGAGATTTTGGGAATGTGGCTCCATGCCAGAGCTCTCCCCGGGGCTGGGATAACGGGATCACAGAGCAGGGATTTTGGGAGTGTGGAATGGGGATTTTTGGGAATGTCGAGCAGGGATTTTGGGAACATGGAGCAGGGATTTTGGGAACATGGAGCAGGGATTTTGGGAACATGGAGCAGGGATTTTGGGAACGTGGCTCTGTCCCGGAGCTCTCCCCGGGGCCGGGCTGACGGGATCTCCCGGCTCAGCAGCGATTGTCCCCGGGATGCTCCCGGCACTGAGCCCTCCCCAGCCAGGCCGGCAAATCCGGCACTGATCCAGCCAGGCTGTGCCGGGACAAATGCAGCCGGGCTGGGCCGGTACAAAGGCAGCCAGGCTGTGCCGGGACAAATGCAGCCAGGCTGTGCCGGGACAAATCCAGCCAGGCTGTGCCGGGACAAATGCAGCCGGGCTGTGCCGGGACAAATGCAGCCAGGCTGTGCCGGGACAAATGCAGCCAGGCTGTGCCGGGACAAATCCAGCCGGGCTGTGCCAGGACAAGCCCTGGGAGAGCCCCGGGGCTGCAGATTGCTGGGAAAGCCGTGCTGACCCGGGCCTGGCCGTGCCGGCCCAGGCCTGCCCGTGCTGACCTGGTCCTGCCCATGCTGATCCGGTCTGGGCCATGCTGACCCGGGCCTGCCCGTGCTGACCCGGGCCTGACCCCGCTGTTCTCCTGCCCGTGCTGACCCGGGCCTGCCCGTGCTGACCCGGGCCTGACCCCGCTGTTCTCCTGCCCGTGCTGACCTGGTCCTGCCCGTGCTGACCCGGGCCTGGCCGTGCTGACCCGGGCCTGACCCCGCTGTTCTCCTGCCCGTGCTGACCCGGGCCATGCTGACCCCGCTGTTCTCCGTGTTTTCCAGATGAGCCCGACCCCGCCCTCTCCGGAGCCGTCCCGGCTGCGGCTCACCGGACACAGCTCGGGTGAGTTCCGAGGGACGGAGCAGCCGGGGGTGCCGGGGGCCCCCAGGGCATCCCAGTTCACCCTGCAGAGATCCCAGTTCCCCCTGGAGTCATCCCAGTCCCGCCCAGGCCATCCCAGTTCACCCTGGAGTGACCCCAGTTCACCTCAGGTCATCCCATTTCCCTTTGGAGCCATCCCATTTCACCCTGGATCCATCCCAATTCACCCTGGTGTGATCCCAGTGCCCCTGGATCCATCCCAGCTCACCTCAGGCCACCCCAGTTCACCCTGGATCCATCCCAGTTCACCTTGGAGTGATCCCGTTTGTGCCCTGGCCATCCCAGTTCACCCTGGAGTCACCCCAGGTCATCCCAGTTCACCCTGGAGTGACCCCAGTTCACCTCAGGTCATCCCATTTCCCTTTGGAGCCATCCCAGTTCACCCTGGATCCATCCCAATTCACCCTGGTGTGATCCCAGTGCCCCTGGATCCATCCCAGCTCACCTCAGGCCACCCCAGTTCACCCTGGATCCATCCCAGTTCACCTTGGAGTGATCCCGTTTGTGCCCTGGCCATCCCAGTTCACCCTGGAGTCACCCCAGGTCATCCCAGTTCACCCTGGAGTGACCCCAGTTCCCCCCAGGCCATCCCAGTTCACTCTGGAATCATCCCAGTTCACCCTGGATCCATCCCAGTTCCCCCTGGGGATATCCTGGTTGTGTTATCCCAAAATCCCCGTTTTTCACCCCAAAATTCCCTTCCAGCCCCACGAATGAGGAGCACCAGGAGCTCCCAAGGCTCTTCCAGCCATGGCAGGGTGGGATTTGTGTCCAACCCAAAAATTTGGGAACCCCCCACAAATCCTTCAGCCCCGCTCCCAGCAAACCTCGGTGCTCCCCAAAACCCCGTTTTTCACCCCAAAATTCCCTTCCAGCCCCACGAATGAGGAGCACCTGGAGTTCCCAAGGGCTCATCCAGCCATGGCTTGGTGGGAAGGGATGGATTTGTGTCCAAATTTTTGGGAACCCCCCACAAATCCTTCAGCCCCGCTCCCAGCAAACCTCGGTGCTCCCCAAAATCCCGTTTTTCACCCCAAAATTCCCTTCCAGCCTCACAAATGAGAAGCACCTTGAATCGTCATAGGCTCTTCCAGCCATGGCAGGGTGGGAATTGTGTCCAACCCAAAAATTTGGGAACCCCCCACAAATCCTTCAGCCCCGCTCCCAGCAAACCTCGGTGCTCCCCAAAACCCCGTTTTTCACCCCAAAATTCCCTTCAAGCCCCACAAATGAGGAGCACCTGGAGTTCCCGAGGCTCTTCCAGCCATGGCAGGGTGGGAAGGGATGGATTTGTGTCCAACCCACATTTTTTGGGAACCCCCCACAAATCCTTCAGCAAGCCTCGGTGCTCCCCAAAACGCCGTTTTTCACCCCAGAATTCCCTTGCAGGCCGGCGCCCGAGGAGCCGCCGGCGTTCCCGCGGGCGCTGTTCCGGCCGCTGGCCGCGGCCTGGGGCGCCGACCAAAGCACTTTAGANCTCCGCGCCCGCCGGCCGCTGCCGCCTCTGCTGCGGCGAGTGCGGCTGGGCCTTCGCCGAGCCGGCGGCGCTGGAGCGGCACCGCAGGCTGCACCAGGAGTCGCGGGAGAAGATCATCGAGGAGATCCAGAAGCTGAACGAGTTCCCGGACGAGGGCCGCGAGGCGCGGCTGCAGTGCCCCAAGTGCGTTTTCGGCACCAACTCCTCCAAGACCTTCGTGCAGCACGCCAAGATGCACGTCAAGGAGAGGAAGGAGCACGCCTCCAGGAGCTCCGGCCTCTTCGGAGAGCTCCGCGACGGTGCCGGGCACGGCCTCTGCAAACCCTTCCAGGCCGACGAGCTGCCGGCGGCGCCGCCCGGCGCGGCGCCCTGCGCGCTCTGCGGCTTCCCGGCGCCCAACGAGCTCATCCTCAAGGAGCACCTGAGGTTCGCCCACTCGCACCTCTCCTGGCAGCCCGAGCCCTTCGAGGACGACCCCAACCAGCCCGGCACCAGCCGCGGCGCCTACAGCCCCGCCCGGCCCGGCCGCTTCGCCGACGCCGAGGCGCTCGGCAGGAGCGACCGGAGCTTCCCGGAGCGGCTCTTGCCGCCGCCGTGCCGGGAGGGTCCCTCCCTGTACGAGCCCGCCTTCGGCTCGGGCCACGCCAGGCTGGACAAGGGCGACGGGGCGGCCAGGAAGGAGCTGCTGCAGGGCCTGCAGCACGCCAGGAAGGCGGCGCCGTATTGCCAGCAGAGCCCGGCGCTGGCCGCGCTCCCCGCGCCCGGAGCCTGCTCGCACCCGGCGCTGCAGCAGCTGAGGAAGAGGGCGGCCGCCCCGCAGCCCGGCGGGGACGGCGTGGCTACCAAACCCCCTGGACATCTGACCACAGGTCATGGTGGCCCTGGTGGCTACCAAACCCCCTGGACATGTGACTTGAGGTTTTGGTGGCCCTGGTGGCTACCAACCCCCCTGGACATCTGATCAAAGATCTTGGTGGTCCTGGTGGCTACCAACCCCCTGGACATGTGACCTGAGGTTCTGGTGGTCCTCGTGGTTACAAACCCCCTGGTCATGTGACCTGAGCTCTTGGTGGTCCTGGTGGCTACCAAACCCCCTGGACATCTGATCAAAGATCTTGGTGGTCCTGGTGGCTACAAAACCCCCTGGACATGTGACTTGAGGTTTTGGTGGCCCTGGTGGCTACAAACTGACCTGGACATGTGATCACAGGTCTTGGTAGCCCTGGTGGCTACCAAACCCCCTGGACATCTGATCAAAGATCTTGGTGGTCCTGGTGGCTACCAACCCCCTGGACATGTGACCTGAGGTTCTGGTGGTCCTCGTGGTTACAAACCCCCTGGTCATGTGACCTGAGCTCTTGGTGGTCCTGGTGGCTACCAAACCCCCTGGACATCTGATCAAAGATCTTGGTGGTCCTGGTGGCTACCAAACCCCCTGGACATGTGACTTGAGGTTTTGGTGGCCCTGGTGGCTACAAACTGACCTGGACATGTGATCACAGGTCTTGGTAGCCCTGGTGGCTACCAAACCCCCTGGACATCTGATCAAAGATCTTGGTGGTCCTGGTGGCTACAAGCCATCCTGGACATGTGACCTGAGCTCTTGGTGGTCCTGGTGGCTACAAACCCCCCTGGACATGTGACCAGAGGTGGATTTTGGGGTTTTTTTGGTGTTTCTGGGTAGGGTTTTGGGGTTCCTGGTGATTTTTGGTGGCCCTGCTCCCACCTGTGACCACTCTTCTCCCTTGCAGTGGCCAACTTCGACCCGGGCACGTTCAGCCTGATGGTTGAACCACCTGAGCTTGGTGGTTTTTGGTGTTTCTGGGTGGGGTTTTTTGGGTTCCTTTTGGTTTTTTTTAGGATTTTTGTGCTCCTGGTGGTTCCTGGTGGCCCTGGTCCCACCTCTGACCGCTTGTCCCTCCTTCCAGTGGCCAACTTCAACCCGGGCACGTTCAGCCTCATGGGGTGGATTTTGGGGTTTCTTGGTGGAGATTTTTGGGTTCCTTTTTGATTTTTTGGGGTTCCTGGTATGGGTTTTTTGGAGTTTTTGGGTTCCTTTTGGGGTTTTTTGGGATTTTTTTGTTCCTTTTGGGTTTTTTTGGGATTTCCGTGCTCCTGGTGGTTCCTGGTGGTCCCAATCCCACCCTGACCACCTGTCCTCCCTTGCAGTGGCCAACTTCGACGTTCAGCCTGATGCGCTGGATCTTGGTGGTTTTTTGGTGTTTCTGGGTGGGGTTTTTTAGGTTCCTTTTGAGTTTTTTTGGGGGGTTTTTGTGTTCCTGGTGGTTCCTGGTGGTCCCAATCCCACCCTGACCACCTGTCCTCCCTTGCAGTGGCCAACTTCGACGTTCAGCCTGATGCGCTGGATCTTGGTGGTTTTTTGGTGTTTCTGGGTGGGGTTTTTTAGGTTCCTTTTGAGTTTTTTTGGGGGGTTTTTGTGTTCCTGGTGGTTCCTGGTGGTCCCAATCCCACCCTGACCACCTGTCCTCCCTTGCAGTGGCCAACTTCGACCCGGGCACGTTCAGCCTGATGCGCTGCGAGTTCTGCGGCGCGGGTTTCGACACGCGGGCGGGGCTCTCGAGCCACGCCCGCGCCCACCTGCGCGACTTCGGCATCACCAACTGGGAGCTCACCGTGTCCCCCATCCACATCCTCAAGGAGCTGCTGGCCACCGCCCCCGAGCACCCGGCGCTGCTGCGCGCCATGGGGCCCTCGCCGGGCCGCGACCCGCACCGCGACCCGCACCGCCAGGATCTCCACCAGGATCTCCACCAGGATCTCCACCAGGATCTCCACCAATTTCCTCCTTTCCCCCTTTTCCCCCAGAATTTCCAAAATTCCCCCTTTTCACCCTAGATTCTCCCCAAATTTCTCCAATTTCCCCTAGAATTCCCAAAATTCCCCTTTCCCCCCCCAAATTCTCCTCAAAATCCCAAATTTCCTCCCAAAACCCCCAATTTGCCTCCAGAATTCCCAAATTTCCTCTTTTTCCCTCCAATTTCCGCCCAGAATCCCCAAAATTCCCCTTTTCCCCCTCAATTTTCCCCAAAATTCCCCATTTTCCCCCCAGAATTCCCAAATTTCCTCCTTTTTCTCCATTTTTCCCTCCAGAATCCCCAAATTTCCCTTTTTCCCCCAAATTCCCCCAATTTCCCTCAAAACCCCCCAATTCCCCCCCAGAATCTCCAAATTTCCCCTTTTTCCCCCTAAATTTCCCCAATTTCCCCCAAATTCCCCCAATTTTCCCCCCAGAATTCCCAAAATTTCCCTTTTTCCCCCCAAATTTTCCCAATTTCCCCCCAATTTCCCCCCAAACCCCCCGAATTCCCCCCCAAAATCCCCGCGGTGTCCCCAGCCGTGTCACCGAGAGCCCCGCGGTGTCCCCGAGAGCCCCGGGGTGTCCCCAGCCCTGTCACCGAGAGCCCCGGGGTGTCACCGAGAGCCCCGCGGTGTCCCCAGCCGTGTCACCGAGAGCCCCGCGGTGTCCCCGAGAGCCCCGGGGTGTCCCCAGCCCTGTCACCGAGAGCCCCGGGGTGTCACCGAGAGCCCCGCGGTGTCCCCAGCCGTGTCACCGAGAGCCCCGCGGTGTCCCCGAGAGCCCCGGGGTGTCCCCAGCCTGTCACCGAGAGCCCCGGGGTGTCACCGAGAGCCCCGGGGTGTCCCCAGCCCTGTCACCGAGAGCCCCGGGGTGTCCCCAGCCCTGTCACCAGGAGCTCTGGGATGTCCCCAGGGTGATCCCCAGGATGTCCCCAACCTGGAGCTCCCAGGGTGTCCCCAGCCCTGTCCCCGAGCTCCCCAGGGTGTCCCCAGCCCTGTCACCAGGAGCTCCAGGATGTCCCCAGCCTGTCACTGGGAGCCTCTGTGGTGTCTCCAGCCCTGTCACCGAGGGGCTCAGGATGTCCCCAAGAGCCCCGGGATGTCCCCAGCCCTGTCACTGAGGGGCTCAGGATGTCCCCAAGAGCCCCGGGATGTCCCCAGCCCTGTCACCAGCAGCCCTGAGGTGTCCCCAGCCCGGAGCTCCCAGGGTGACCCCAGCCCTGTCACTGAGAGCCCCGGGGTGTCACCAGGAGCCCACGGTGTCCCCAGCCCTGTCACTGAGGGGCTCAGGGTGTCCCCAAGAGCCCCGGGGTGTCCCCAGCCCTGTCACTGGGATGTCCCCAGCCCTGTCACCAGCAGCCCTGAGGTGTCCCCAGCCCGGAGCTCCCAGGGTGACCCCAGCCCTGTCACTGAGAGCCCCGGGGTGTCACCAGGAGCCCACGGTGTCCCCAGCCCTGTCACTGAGGGGCTCAGGGTGTCCCCAAGAGCCCCGGGGTGTCCCCAGCCCTGTCACTGGGATGTCCCCAGCCCTGTCACCAGCAGCCCTGAGGTGTCCCCAGCCCAGAGCTCCCAGGGTGTCCCCAGCTCTGTCACCGGGATGTCCCCAGCTTTGTCCCTGAGGGGCTCAGGGATGTCCCCAGCTTTGTCCCCAGGGTGTCCCAGCCCTGTCACCGAGGGGCTCAGGGATGTCCCCAGCTGTCCCTGTCCCTTCTTGTGCCACCCCTCCCTGTCCTGCCCCCTGCAGGGACCTGTCACCTCTCTGTGTCCCCTCCCCTTTAGGACCTGTCACTTCCTGTGTCCCCTCCCTGCAGGGACCTGTCGCAGTCCTGTCCCCTCCCTGCAGGGACTGTCACACCCCTGTCCTGCCCCCTGCAGGGACTGTCACACCCCTGTCCCCTCCCTGCAGGGACCTGTCACACCCCTGTCCCCTCCCCTTTGGGACCTGTCACCTCTCTGTGTCCCCTCCCTGCAGGGACCTGTCACCTCTCTGTGTCCCCTCCCTGCAGGGACCTGTCACCATCTCTGTGTCCCCTCCCCTTTAGGACCTGTCACTGTCCCTGTCCCACCTGTGCAGGGATCTGTCACCACCCCTGTCGTGCCCCCTGCAGGGACTGTCACACCCCTGTCCCCTCCCTGCAGGGACCTGTCACCATCTCTGTGTCCCCTCCCCTTTAGGACCTGTCACCTCTCTGTGTCCCCTCCCTGCAGGGAGATGCCACCACCCTGTCCCCTCCCCTTTAGGATCTGTCACCTTTCCTGTCCCACCCTGTCACCATCTCTGTGTCCCCTCCCCTTGGGGACCTGTCACACCCCTGTCCTGCCCCCTGCAGGGATGTGTCACCTTCTGTGTCCCCTCCCTGCTGGGAGATGCCACCGCCCCTGTGCTGTCCCCTCCCCTTCAGGACTGTCACCTCTCACTGTCCCTGCCCTGTGGGAGGTGCCACCACCCCTGTCCTGTCCCCTGCCTGATGCCACCACGCTGTCCCCTCCCCTTAGGGACGTGTCGCCTCTCAGTGTCCCCTCCCCTTACGGAGCTGTCACTGTCCCTGTCCCCTCCCCTGTCCTGTCCCCTTCAGGAGCTGTCACCGGGCTCAGGATGTCCCCAAGAGCCCCGGGATGTCCCCAGCCCTGTCACTGAGGGGCTCAGGATGTCCCCAAGAGCCCCGGGATGTCCCCAGCCCTGTCACTGAGGGGCTCAGGATGTCCCCAAGAGCCCCGGGATGTCCCCAGCCCTGTCACTGAGGGGCTCAGGATGTCCCCAAGAGCCCCGGGATGTCCCCAGCCCTGTCACTGAGGGGCTCAGGATGTCCCCAAGAGCCCCGGGATGTCCCCAGCCCTGTCACTGAGGGGCTCAGGATGTCCCCAAGAGCCCCGGGATGTCCCCAGCCCTGTCACTGAGGGGCTCAGGATGTCCCCAAGAGCCCCGGGATGTCCCCAGCCCTGTCACTGAGGGGCTCAGGATGTCCCCAAGAGCCCCGGGATGTCCCCAGCCCTGTCACTGAGGGGCTCAGGATGTCCCCAAGAGCCCCGGGATGTCCCCAGCCCTGTCACTGAGGGGCTCAGGATGTCCCCAAGAGCCCCGGGATGTCCCCAGCCCTGTCACTGAGGGGCTCAGGATGTCCCCAAGAGCCCCGGGATGTCCCCAGCCCTGTCACTGAGGGGCTCAGGATGTCCCCAAGAGCCCCGGGATGTCCCCAGCCCTGTCACTGAGGGGCTCAGGATGTCCCCAAGAGCCCCGGGATGTCCCCAGCCCTGTCACTGAGGGGCTCAGGATGTCCCCAAGAGCCCCGGGATGTCCCCAGCCCTGTCACTGAGGGGCTCAGGATGTCCCCAAGAGCCCCGGGATGTCCCCAGCCCTGTCACTGAGGGGCTCAGGATGTCCCCAAGAGCCCCGGGATGTCCCCAGCCCTGTCACTGAGGGGCTCAGGATGTCCCCAAGAGCCCCGGGATGTCCCCAGCCCTGTCACTGAGGGGCTCAGGATGTCCCCAAGAGCCCCGGGATGTCCCCAGCCCTGTCACTGAGGGGCTCAGGATGTCCCCAAGAGCCCCGGGATGTCCCCAGCCCTGTCACTGAGGGGCTCAGGATGTCCCCAAGAGCCCCGGGATGTCCCCAGCCCTGTCACTGAGGGGCTCAGGATGTCCCCAAGAGCCCCGGGATGTCCCCAGCCCTGTCACTGAGGGGCTCAGGATGTCCCCAAGAGCCCCGGGATGTCCCCAGCCCTGTCACTGAGGGGCTCAGGATGTCCCCAAGAGCCCCGGGATGTCCCCAGCCCTGTCACTGAGGGGCTCAGGATGTCCCCAAGAGCCCCGGGATGTCCCCAGCCCTGTCACTGAGGGGCTCAGGATGTCCCCAAGAGCCCCGGGATGTCCCCAGCCCTGTCACTGAGGGGCTCAGGATGTCCCCAAGAGCCCCGGGATGTCCCCAGCCCTGTCACTGAGGGGCTCAGGATGTCCCCAAGAGCCCCGGGATGTCCCCAGCCCTGTCACTGAGGGGCTCAGGATGTCCCCAAGAGCCCCGGGATGTCCCCAGCCCTGTCACTGAGGGGCTCAGGATGTCCCCAAGAGCCCCGGGATGTCCCCAGCCCTGTCACTGAGGGGCTCAGGATGTCCCCAAGAGCCCCGGGATGTCCCCAGCCCTGTCACTGAGGGGCTCAGGATGTCCCCAAGAGCCCCGGGATGTCCCCAGCCCTGTCACTGAGGGGCTCAGGATGTCCCCAAGAGCCCCGGGATGTCCCCAGCCCTGTCACTGAGGGGCTCAGGATGTCCCCAAGAGCCCCGGGATGTCCCCAGCCCTGTCACTGAGGGGCTCAGGATGTCCCCAAGAGCCCCGGGATGTCCCCAGCCCTGTCACTGAGGGGCTCAGGATGTCCCCAAGAGCCCCGGGATGTCCCCAGCCCTGTCACTGAGGGGCTCAGGATGTCCCCAAGAGCCCCGGGATGTCCCCAGCCCTGTCACTGAGGGGCTCAGGATGTCCCCAAGAGCCCCGGGATGTCCCCAGCCCTGTCACTGAGGGGCTCAGGATGTCCCCAAGAGCCCCGGGATGTCCCCAGCCCTGTCACCAGCAGCCCTGAGGTGTCCCCAGCCCGGAGCTCCCAGGGTGACCCCAGCCCTGTCACTGAGAGCCCCGGGGTGTCACCAGGAGCCCACGGTGTCCCCAGCCCTGTCACTGAGGGGCTCAGGGTGTCCCCAAGAGCCCCGGGGTGTCCCCAGCCCTGTCACTGGGATGTCCCCAGCCCTGTCACCAGCAGCCCTGAGGTGTCCCCAGCCCAGAGCTCCCAGGGTGTCCCCAGCTCTGTCACCGGGATGTCCCCAGCTTTGTCCCTGAGGGGCTCAGGGATGTCCCCAGCTTTGTCCCCAGGGTGTCCCAGCCCTGTCACCGAGGGGCTCAGGGATGTCCCCAGCTGTCCCTGTCCCTTCTTGTGCCACCCCTCCCTGTCCTGCCCCCTGCAGGGACCTGTCACCTCTCTGTGTCCCCTCCCCTTTAGGACCTGTCACTTCCTGTGTCCCCTCCCTGCAGGGACCTGTCGCAGTCCTGTCCCCTCCCTGCAGGGACTGTCACACCCCTGTCCTGCCCCCTGCAGGGACTGTCACACCCCTGTCCCCTCCCTGCAGGGACCTGTCACACCCCTGTCCCCTCCCCTTTGGGACCTGTCACCTGTCCCCTCCCACCCCGTGCTGGGACCTGTCACCATCCCTGTGCTGTCCCCTGCGGGGATTTGTCACCTCTCTGTGTCCCTCCCCTTTAGGACCTGTCACCGCTCTGTGTCCCCTCCCCTGCGGGGATTTGTCACCTCTCTGTGTCCCTCCCCTTTAGGACCTGTCACACCCCTGTCCCCTGCACAGGAATGTGCCACCACCCCTGTCCTGTCCCCTGCAGGGACTGTCACACCCCTGTCCCCTCCCCTCAGGGACCTGTCCCCTGTCCCCTCCCTGCAGGGACCTGTCACTGTCTCTGTCCCCTCCCCTTTAGGACCTGTCACCTCTCTGTGTCCCCTCCCTGCAGGGAGATGCCACCACCCTGTCCCCTCCCCTTTAGGATCTGTCACCTTTCCTGTCCCACCCTGTCACCATCTCTGTGTCCCCTCCCCTTGGGGACCTGTCACACCCCTGTCCTGCCCCCTGCAGGGATGTGTCACCTTCTGTGTCCCCTCCCTGCTGGGAGATGCCACCGCCCCTGTGCTGTCCCCTCCCCTTCAGGACTGTCACCTCTCACTGTCCCTGCCCTGTGGGAGGTGCCACCACCCCTGTCCTGTCCCCTGCCTGATGCCACCACGCTGTCCCCTCCCCTTAGGGACGTGTCGCCTCTCAGTGTCCCCTCCCCTTACGGAGCTGTCACTGTCCCTGTCCCCTCCCCTGTCCTGTCCCCTTCAGGAGCTGTCACCGCTCTGGTGGCACTGCCACTGTCCCTGTCCCCTGCCCTGTCCTGTCCCCTTCAGGAGCTGTCACCTCTCTGGTGGCACTGCCACTGTCCCTGTCCCCTCCCCTGTCCTGTCCCCATCAGGAGCTGTCACCTCTCTGGTGGCACTGCCACTGTCCCTGTCCCCTCCCCTCAGGGACCTGGCTCTGTGCTGTCCCCTGTGGGGAGATGCCACCACCCCTGTCCTGTCCTGTCCCCTGCCACTGTCCCTGTCCCTGTCCTGTCCCCTGCCACCACCCCTGTTCTGTCACCTGCAGGGACCTGCCACTGACCCTGTCCTGTCACCTGTGGGGACCTGGCTCTGTCCCTGTCCCCAAACCCCACCTGGAACACCCCAAACCCCCCCTGGGTCCCCCCAAACCCACCTGGCTCCCCCCAAACCCCTCTGGAACACCCCAAACCCCACCTGGAACACCCCAAACCCCACCTGGAACACCCCAAATCCCTCTGGAACACCCCAAACCCCCCTGGATCCCCCCAAATCCCCCTGGAACACCCCAAACCCCCGTCCCTGA